GCAAATTACAAAAGCAGAGTATGATTTAACAAAAATATATGAACAAAGGACATAAGTCTTCTTACATGTCAGGTTGCCACAACAGAAATAACAGATCGGGGTAACTCAAAGGATCCACTAATGAACACGAGTGTAATTAAATCCTCACAGAACAAGTGCCTGTTTGAATTATAACATCTGCTTTTCCTAAACGTAACTAGAATATATGTTTTACATTCTGTCCTCCAGCAATTTTCCAAACTCTAAAATTTTGAAAACATGAATCTCCAAATCAACGAAAATGCCAATACTGAAAAACAATATTTACATTGTTTTTCCTTTAACAGGATGTAATGACCTCTACTTCTTCAAAAATTGAACGTGGAAGTAAACAACGTAAGAAAGGCTTGTGAAGCTAGAACAGTGGTATAGCTTTTTAGACAGACAAAAGGTGTTTTAAAAAGAAGAATCTATTAATATTCTTAATATTGTAAAAAGTGTTTAACTAAGTTTGTATGTCTAACCATTAAAAGGCTGCACCGGCTAACATTTGTTTCTTTGCTTTTGAGTGACATTTTACCACTGTGGTGTAGCAACGTTAGCTTTCTCAGGTTAACCAAAAGTTCCTATTGGAACTTAACGTTTGGCCAATACAAAATTGGAAAAAAGATTACTTAAAGCACTTTATTTGGGATACAAAGTCACCCACCCACAATGGGTAGGGGGAAGAGTAGAAATGAAAAAAAAGAAAGGCCCTGGGTAAGGGGAGAGGACGAATTAAAAAGGGAACCCAAGGGTTATGAAAATATAAATAAATCACTGGATTAGATTTACTTTATGCCAGTGATTACTTGAGTCAATTTTGGTGTGAAGGATGTATCCGCCGGTATCTTAAACTGTTGCCTTGTTATTTGAAGGATGGAAATGACAGCTACCCTTATCTTCTCCCATCCTGAAAGCTAAGGATAGAAAAAAGTACAGTTGCTTCTCTGAGAAACAAAGATGCTACCATTCTTCTAAGATGGTGGAAGAGTCTCCTCAAGAGGCTACACCAAGAAGGAAAAATCAGAGAGGTAAAGAAGAAAGCCATAGCAGAATTCCCTGGCTGTGTTTCATGCCATTGCTCCTAGCCACAACCCCTGTGCAACCACTCAGGTCCGGCCATCCCCATCGAGGGAGGTTAAGCTCTCCCAAGGCATTGTTTGGCCGGGGTTCCTATTTACCACTCAGATCGCCTCCACCATCCCCTACGCTAGGGTCTCGGGAAGCCCCAGGGTAGAAATCTGAAAAGCTAGGAGAGGACTTGCTTTCGAGGACCTCTTCCAAACCCCCTTACTAACTGGTGTAGGAAAGGGAGAGTGAAGCCGGGCCTCTGCTTGGGTGGGTTCCTTAGGGGTCAGAGGCGTCCGCTCAGCCAGTGTCGAAGGAAGGTGGCCATTTGAGCCGGTCGCTCCGCATCGAAAAAGCCCTACCAGAGAGAGGGGCCTCCGCAGGGCCCGGGTTCCGTCCGAGTGTCAGATGCGGCCCTCAGTTCCCAACCCTCGAGGCACCAGGGGCGACAGCTCACAGGCCCCAGGGCTGAGAGTGGTCTCCCGCCCGACCGCCGGGGACCAGGCACCCGGGCTGGGGCCCGAGCCGCATCGTGCCCGCCCCCGCCCTACCTGAGGGGGCCCGGGTGGGGTCGCTAAGGGCCGCTCCCGGGAGCCCCGCGACGGCGCGGCTCGGCGACGGAGGCGCCTCGTCTCGCCGGGGCAGAGCTCGGCGGAGGTTTCACGACCTCAAACTCCATCGGGAGCTACAGGGACAGCCCCGTTGGCGGCGGCGAAGGCCGCGACGGGGCCTCCTCCTCCTCCCTCTCCCTCCACCTCTGCCTCCGCCTCCTCCTCCTCCTCCTCCTCCTCCTCCTCCTCCTCACCACGGAGGCGGACCTGGAGGGATCCCGACCTAGCTCTCGCGAGAAGTTACTCCCAACTTAACGCGAGATTACGCAAGCCCGGGAGTCGGGAGTTGAAAGGAAAGCGCAGTAGCCCCAGCCACCCAAACTGCGTATCAACTTCGCTCTGCCTCAGCGAATCCACCCCGATCACGTGACAAGGGAGCCCCGGAGCACTGTGGGAGGTACTATGAGAAGGACTAGGCAAGCCGAAGGGATTGATGGGAAACTCCCTGCACATTCATCTGTGCCTTGAGCCGGCTTCCTAGACGCTGGTTTGAGCCAGTGTCTCCTTCGTGAAAAGCCTGGAATCCATTGAGCAGAATCTGATACATCTGTGTTACATTCTACTTCACGTTCCTGTAATGACATGCTGACAGGATCCCTCAATCCCTCCACAATGTCAAGTAATCTCCCAATTACAAAAACAAAAAAGAAAACATGTATTTGGCAGGCACTTCCATATCTCCCTTCTTTATTAAAGAGAGAACTCTGTTCCTAGACAAAGAGTCCAAAGGAAAAAAAAAAAGCTCTGAGCTCCTCAAAAGCTGGCAAAGATAAAAATTTAAGCACAAATTCTGGCATCATATCTCAAATATTTGTTGAAGCTTTTTCCACAGCGAATTAAGGTAAGAATGATTCTTACTGTTTATAATTTATAGATGAAACAGACTTGGAATAGGGATAAGAGAATTAACATTTATAAACTACTTAGTATGTGTAAGGTCCTGTGTTAGGTGATATTTAATTTTAAATGTTTTAGTTTTATTTACATTTTATTTAATTAGCAAGGTGATCCTAGAAGGCAGATACAATGTACCTCTTGTTACTGATGAGAAGCTAAAGAATGTAGGCTAGAAAATGACCATGACGCCTGGCGCGGTGGCTCACGCCTGTAATACCAGCACTTTGGGAGGCCGAGGCGACTGGATCACGAGGTCAGAAGTTAGAGACCAGTCTGGCCAACATAGTGAAACCCCGTGTCTACTAAAAATACAAAAATTAGTCGGGTGTGGTGGCGGGCACCTGTAATCCCAGCTACTCGGGGGACTGAGGCAGGAGAATCGCGTGAACCCGGGAGGCGGAGGTTGCCATGAGTGGAGACCGCCATTGCGCTACAGCCGGGGGGTGGTCAGTGCCAGACTCCGTCTCAAAAAAAAAAAAAAAAGAAAAAGAAAAAAAAGGACCATGACTTGTAATTAAACTCAAGGCACTTTCCTATGTGAAATCAGATGTCCAACAACAAAAATATGCAAGTAAACCTACGATGAGTTAGAATATGGAAAAGTTGCTTTTACAGTTTCAACAAAATATATGGTTATTACCTATTATATTTGTCTGAATGACAGGCAAAGATCAATGTTTTTGAAAAAAGATTCATTGGCCACATCAAAGACGTTTCTTCCACACATTATCTTTTTCGTTCTCTCTTTTTTTTTTTTTTTTTTTGAGACGGAGTCTCGCTCTGTCCCCCTGGCTGTCCCCTGGAGTGCGGTGGCACGATCTCGGCTCACTGCAAGCTCCGCCTCCCGGGTTCACGCCATTCTCCTGCCTCAGCCTCCTCAGTAGCTGGGACTACAGGCGCCCGCCACCGCCCCCGGCTATTTTTTTTGTATTTTTAGCAGAGACGGGGTTTCACCGTGTTAGCCAGGATGGTCTCGATCTCCTGACCTTGTGATCCGCCCGCCTCGGCCTCCCAAAGTGCTGGGATTACAGGCGTGAGCCACCGCGCCCGGACACGTTCTCTTCTCTTTATGATACATATGCCAAGCCTAGAGAACTGTTAACAACCAATACTTGTTTCAGTAATTTCAACTGGACAGTGATAGGTGATTTTACATGTACATATTTGTTTTCCACACTACTGTGTGTATACACACACACAATACATATATAAATATATACACATATATACATACATATAATATATATACATATATACATATATGTACATATATATATTTTTGAGATGGAGTCTCGCTGTGTCGCAGAGGCTGGAGTGCAATGGCGCAGTCTCGGCTCACTGCAACCTCCGCCTCCCGGGTTTAAGGGATTCTCCTGCCTTAGCCTCCCCAGTAGCTGGGATTACAGGCACCCGCCATCATGCCTGGCTAATTTTTTTTTTTTTTTTTTTTTTTTTTGTATTTTTGTGGAGACAGGGTTTCACCATGTTGGCCAGGCTGGGCTTGAACTCCTGACCTCAGAAGATCCGCCCGCCTCGGCCTCCAAAGTGTTGGGATTACAGGCGTGAGCCACCGCGCCAGGCCATATTTTTCTATTCTACTGGATATATTTACATTTCACTAGACAGGAGAATGTTCATTTCTGATAATTGAGATTTTTCAAAGGTGTCCTGACCACCATATTTATTTTTATTTTATTTTTGAGACGGGGTCTGGCTCCCTCACCCAGGCTGAACTGCAGCGTTGCGATCTCGGCTTATTGCAACCTCCGCCTCCCAATTTCAAGGGATTCTCCTGCCTCAGACTCTGGAGTAGCTGGGATTACAGGCGAGCACCACCATGCCCAGCTAACTTTTGTATTTTTAGTGAAGGGTTTTCATCAGGTTGGCCAGGCTTGCCTCGAACTCCTGACGTCAAGTGATCTGCCAGCCTCGGCCTCCCAAAGTGCTCCCAAAGTGTTGGGATTACAGGCGTGAGCCTCAGCGCCCGGCCATGACCACCATATTTAAAATTACAATCCCATCCCCCTTCTCTGATACTCCCTATTCCTGATTTTTCTCCAAATTCCTTCTCAAACTTTGACAGACATGGATTTTACTTACTTGTTTACTATTCATCTCCCTTCACTATAATGTTTCACAAGAGCAGGAATTTTTGTCTGTATACATAACTTATACTGCATTGTAAGGACTCAGAAGTATTTGCTAGATGAATGATTAATGAATAGCCAGGAGAAACTGTATCCTTTAAATTGTATCCTTTAAAATTCGAAGATGAAGACAAAACACATAGTCCATTCCCACCTCCAGTTTATTATTTCTTATGTAAACATGTAAGATAGTTACATCCTAGGAAAAAGGGCAAGTGTTTTCTCTTACAACAAAGTAACGACTACCTTTTCAAGATTTTTTTTTTTTTTTGTTACTTAGTTTTTATTTCATAATCATAAACTTAACTCTGCAATCCAGCTAGGCATGGAAGAGAACAAGGAAAACATGGAACCCAAAGGGAACTGCAGCGAGAGCACAAAGATTCTAGGATACTGCGAGCAAATGGGGTGGAGGGGTGCTCTCCTGAGCTACAGAAGGAATGGTCTGGTGGTTAAGATAAAACATAAGTCAAACTTATTCGAGTTGTCCACAGTCAGCAATGGTGATCTTCTTGCTGGTCTTGCCATTCCTGGACCCAAAGCGCTCCATGGCCTCCACAATATTCATGCCTTCTTTCACTTTGCCAAAGACCACATGCTTGCCATCCAACCACTCAGTCTTGGCAGTGCAGATGAAAAACTGGGAACCATTTGTGTTGGGTCCAGCATTTGCCATGGACAAGATGCCAGGACCTGTATGCTTTAGGATGAAGTTCTCATCTTCAAATTTCTCCCCATAGATGGACTTGCCACCAGTGCCATTATGGCGTGTGAAGTCACCACCCTGACACATAAACCCTGGAATAATTCTGTGAAAGCAGGAACCCTTATAACCAAATCCTTTCTCTCCAGTGCTCAGAGCACGAAAATTTTCTGCTGTCTTTGGAACCTTGTCTGCAAACAGCTCGAAGGAGACGCGGCCCAAGGGCTCGCCGTCGACGGCAATGTTGAAGAACACGGTAGGGTTGACCATGGCTAGTAGCACAAGACTTTCCTCGGCGGCAGCGTCTGCAAAGCGGGCAAGATCTTTTATACGTAAATGGAGTAAATAAAGAGGTTGAACTCAAACACTTTGCATTTTTCTGTCATATCAGAAATACAAACTGTGAATATGTTAAATGAATAAATTCTATACTTTGTCATACCTTCACTTTAAAAAAAGATTCCATTTTCCTGAAAATTTTTAGACCTATCATGCAAACAGACACTCTCCTAGGAATGTTTGGAGATCATTCTGTGCTACTGAACAGGAATAAATAATATAAATAATAACCATCACTTTCACAAAACACCCCCGGCCAGCAAAAATCTCAAAGTGCTCACAAAAAATTTTACAACAATCTACAAGGCACACATAAAACTTAAACATAGTTTCAACCAATTTTTTGTTTTCAGATATCCAAGATAGTAGATACTAATTCCTAAAAAATCAGATTACTATTCTTTTACCCTCTCCTCCCATCTCCATCCTTCCCCCTTCCCCCCATGCCATTTTATCATAGGAAGCAAAAATAAGAAAAGTATTTCAATCACTAGTAAACTATTTCTGAAAAGAAAATATTTTCACACCAACAAATGGCCAGCGTTAGGTCAAATGGAAGCAATGAGCTATGAATGAAAAGTAAGCAATGAGCCATCATCCTTTCCAGTGGAAAAAGATCCACTATTTAGAAAAATTATGTCTCCAATGGAGTACTTAAGTAACAAAGTTCATAAAGACACAAAACCGTCCTCTCTTGCTTTCCCCTTCTGTTCTGAGGGAGAATTAAATATAAAATCATGGAATTTTAGACCTGGAAATGATCTTTCAAATGATCAAGATCAAAGTAATTTTACATATATAGTTAAAAAGTTCAAGGAGAAGTTCAGCACAATGTCACAAACTAGTAACGTTGGGTTATGAAGTCGGTTTTCTCGTCAAACGAGACCTGCATTCTTAAAAGTCTCTAGGAAAGTTAAAATTCAGTGGAGAATGTCTTTCCCACAAAAGTATCAAAAGAAGGTTAACACTTACAACAATGAACATGTGATTCATCACACAATTTTTATAAATGGTACAAAGTATATTACATTTTAAAATATAGAAGGGCTTCAATAGAAATTAAATACAGTAGAAATTCTACATAAAGCTAAGTTAACTAGAGGAGGACTAGAACAGCTTGAAAGTAAGATGCATCTAGTCAGGCTTCTTTACCAAAAGCAGTTCTTGTGTTTTGAAGAATATTATTGGCCCTGCAGTATATTTTAATCTTTGTTAAAATAATTTTTTAAAGTTTTTTATGATATGTAGATGGGTATATTAGAGAACTATGGCTTGGAACACCATCTCAAATATGACTGTCACTAAAATAATCATACAGTCATGGTTTTCCTTTTGGCGTAATTTTGGAAATATAAAACTCTAGGGATGGTTAAGATTCTTATCAACCCATAGTGAATGGAAATTCCATTAATGTAAATGAAAAAATACAACACTAAAGCTACCCCTTTTTAAATTGCTCATCGAATAACAGCTAGAATATATATTGCCAATTCAAAACTTAAAATGATATGGATGAACCTCAAAGTCATTATGCTGGGTGAAAAAGCATGTCAAGAAGGAACATACAGTAAGAATCTGTTTATATGACAGTCCAGAAAAGGCAAAATAGTAGTGACGGAGAACTGTTGCCAGGATTAGAGCTAGAAGAGCTGACTACAAAAGGACAGCATGAGAGAGCTGTTGAGTGAAGGAACTGTTCTGTACCGATTGCTGTAGTGGTGCACAAATCTTTGTGTTAAAATTTGCAGAACTATAAACCAGGAAGAAATTTCAGTTTTACTTCATGTTAAATAAAAAATAAAATAGAGAAGAAGTTTTAAAACAGTAGAACAGATATCTTTGGTAAAGGTAGAATTTCTCATTTTTCACAGCTTCATGCCAATGGTATAATTTTACTGGCCACAAAATTATTGATCCAATTGTATTAAATAAAATCAAGAAACTTGGGCCCAATTAACCATTTCTTAAATATGTATACTAACAAGACCTGGAAATAAAAGTATTTTAAGGAATATTAACCCTTTATAAAAAATAATCTGCTATTCCCAAGTGAATCTGAATTGTTACTTTATACATTTTAAAATGAAAAGTATCTTGGTGTTTAGTTTGGAATCCAAGAACAGCTGGTAAAAAGCTAAAAAAAATTTTCTTAGTGCCATCTGTTCTAAAGTGACTAGAAACACATAATAGTGTTTTTACCTTTATTTTCTTTTTTTGTTATCCTAATTCATTAGTTTTTATATGATTGGATTTTATACTTAAGTCAGTTACCTAGAGACTCCAAATCAGAATCTGCAAATACTGCTGGATCCTTTGTCACTAGAATCAAGAATGTGTAAGAAAGGAACTCTATTTCTCTAGGGATACTACTGAGACTTATATGTAATGTATGAGATGAGACAGAATCCCATCAGCTTTACTGTGCCTCCCATAACTTTGGAACTGTTAGAAGTTCAGAAAGAATGATTATGTGTAAGCCAACCAAATATAAGAAACAAAGATTAGCGGGGATGAAATATTACAAATGCTGCATCTCTATAGAAAGACTTGCCTAATAGAATAATACAAACTTTATATAACAAGTCTGTGATTATAATTATAGTAGACTTTGCCTTTTGAGATCAGGCCTAGATAGTTTTTCACCACTGCTTCTGCCATGGACAGAGGTTAAGTGCTTTTTGAGAGCAGACTTGTGCTTAAAATCCATATCACAACAGTGGCATTTGTATGGCCGATCCCCACTGTGTATGTTCAAGTGGTCCTGAAGTGTGCTTTTAGCAGTAAATGTCTTCAAGCACACAGAACACTGAAAGGGCCGTATGCCCATGTGTCCTCGAATGTGTCGGTTGAGATTTTTCTTCTGTGTAAATGTTTTCCCGCACTGTAAGCATAAGAATAGTTTATGCATTTTAAGGTGGCGCAGATAGTTTTCAACATGAAGAAAGCCTCGAGGACACCTGGGGCACTGGTGCCTCAGTGAATAACCTTCCTCCAGATTCTGAATCTCACTCACTGTACCATAACTTCCTTCAGTATTCTCACAAAATAAGCCCTGACCTTGATTCCCAGGAACTTCAGCCACTCTGCTCTCAACTGTAGAATTGATCAATGAATGCTGTGTTTCAGAGAAATACATGCTTGCTTTTGAAGAGGTACAAGGCTGTGAAAACTGCCCATTTTCAACACCAGCTGTACTGATGGATTCTACGTGAAGGATACAAATTTCATTGTCTTTAAAACCTATGTCTACCGCAGACAGCTCTGGTGACTTCATTTCCTTTCTCTCTGATGTCAGACTCTCTACTGTAGACTGCAAAGCATTGCTTTCCTCTTCTTTAACATGGAAATCTATGTTCACAGGACTATCTTCTGAAATTTCAATTATCTCACAGTCTTTATCAGAATTTTCATCTTCATTCTTAACATCAGGATCAGAAGACTGACACAGGTCAGTGTGTTGGTTGTTGTTTTTCATAGAAAGATCAATTTCCAGATACTTTGACAAAGCTTCTGTGCACTTTTCCACAATGTGAACCATTTGAAGGTAACTGGCAGCAGTCAAGTATTTCAAAAGCTCTTTCCTTTTAACTTCAAGTGCTCCAGTATAGCAAGACAGTAACAATTTTCTGCCAACTTCTGCACTCTGCAAGATGGTGATTCTGACATGTTTTGACTGTGTGAGTAAAAACTGATCTCTCATAAAAGTGGAGCAAGCAGCCAAAATCACCTTGTGCCCCTGGAACTCTGTGTCATTAATGTAAATTGATACATCACAAAATAAATTCTGCTGTCTCAAAAGATTCATTTTCTGCAAGACCACATCTCCTTGCTGTTCAAACTGGAAATGCAGAACATCAGACTCAGCAGCCATGATCACAATCTAAGCAAAATGAAACACAAACATTGATGTAATAAAGATAGGGAATGCTTTCTCATGCTGTAATAGTGAAAACAAACAAAAAACCCCAAACCTGAATTAGGAAAAAGAAGACTCAAAGTCTAATCTAGATGCTATGAACCCTTATGCCACCATCTCAAAACTGAGAACTTTATAATGCACTTCTCTATGATCTCATAGCACATTTTTCATAACTTTGTTACAACATTTATTACACTGAATTGTAGTGAACAGTTTCTAGCTTGTATCTTTTGCTAAATGTTGTTTGCGTTGTGGTCAAGAACAATCTGTCAATTTTGAGTATCCAATAATGAGCATGACCACCACAAAGTTGATTTAACATAATATCCCCAATTACAAACCTTAACGTAATCTCTAAACTTCCTACTCCCCACCACTACAACAGGTCTCCCTTCCGGTTCACCTGGACAACTGCAATATCTTCCAACAGGTCTCCTTTATATGCCAGATTACCCTCCTGAGTGCTACCAGGATTAACATCCCTTAAGGTTTTTGTTTGTTTGGTTGGTTGGTTGTTTTTTAATTTCCCTTTTAAATCTTCCATCACTCTCCTCTACCTCCGGGACAGACCAAATTTCTTAGGGAAGAATACGAGACCCATCACGATTTGGCCATAACCCATCTTTATGGCTTTATCACCTTCTATTCTCTTTTTCATACTCGAACCTCGTTCATACTAAATTTTTCCATCATTGCCGAAACAAAAAGACAGGAATACACATTTCTTAAATTCGCGTTTCCAGTTCCTTTTTCCAGCTAGTGATTAGGCTCCTTTAAGCCCAAATCAAGTAAAACTAATATGACTCCACCTCCCGTTTCCACCAGAGAGTCTAGTCGCTCTCTGAGCACCGCGAAATGGTTCCTGATTCATCTGTGTTCCTGCACCGAGCACAGGGGTCCACACAGAGCAGGAGGAGCTCAGGGAACATCTGCTGAACTGAAACCGGATCCCAGGTTCAGCACACAGGTATTCTCGAGGCAACCCTGCGAAGGGCCAAGGCCCTGCCGACCAACTGGTTGCAGCACCAGATTAGCCACTCCGGGGCCGAGCCCAGCTGTCCTCCTCCTCCTCCTCCTCTTCCTCAGGCACCCCCCACCTGAGGAAACTCCCTGGCACTCACTCACCGACTCAAAAAACTATAGAGTCGAGGATTCCGCGGCAGCGTCTGCCCAGGCCGGAAGATGGACTTAGGCAGAAAACACATCCGGTGCCAACCAGCTTTATTCTTCACTGGGGCCCTCTGGGCGCCCCGGAAGGACATTCTGAGACGGTCTCCCTTCCTCACTTCCCCCCTCTTGGAATGACAGAAAGACACCTGAATGCCGGCAAGCCCCATCTCTCATGTTCCAGTTTCGGCACTCGAGCCGTTCCCCCCCCCCCCCCCCCCCCCTTTTTTTTTAAGACGGAGTTTTGCTCTTGTTGCCCAGGCTCGAGTGCAATGGCGCAATTTCGGCTCACTGCAATCTTCGCCTCCCGGGTTCAAGCGACTTTCGCACCGCAGCCTCCCAAGTAGCTGGTATTAGGCGCCCGCCACCACGTCCGGCTCATTTTTGTATTTTTAGTAGAGACGCGGTTTCACCATGTTGGCTAGGCTGGTCTGGCACTCCTGACCTCAGGTGATCCGCCCCCCTCGGCCTCCCTAAGTGCTGTGATTACAGGCTTCAGCCACCGCGCCCAGCCCGAGCCGTTTCCTTTTGTGAGTCCTTCTGAACATCCGAATTGGAGACAGGGTTTGAGGTTCGGTTACGGCAGGTCTGTCAGAGTAACGAGACCTTCAGAGTAACCAGACCTTTTATGGATTATTCTGGGACGATTTCTCTCCTTATCGGGGCCACCTACAACTTGAAAGGTGGCAGAGCAGAAACTATCCGTAAGGGTCTGTATTCAAGATTGCCTAGGTAATGCCCCATCAGGAGCTGGCCCCAACTTCTGGATCTAGCTTCACACTTAAATCCGTTCCTCCCTCCCAAAACTTTTGGCCCAGCTGTTTCCTCTGACGTGCTCTAGCCTTTTCCCCACGTATCTTTTTTTTTTTTTTTGAGACGGAGTCTCGCTCTGTCGCCCAGGCTGGAGTGCAGTGGCGCGATCTCGGCTCACTGCAAGCTCCACCTCCCGGTTCACGCCATTCTCCTGCCTCAGCCTCCCGAGTAGCTGAAACTACAGGCACCTGCCTCCATGCCCGGGTAATTTTTTATATTTTTAATAGAGACGGGGTTTCACCGTGTTAGCCAGGATGGTCTCGATCTCCTGACCCCGTGATCCGCCTGCCTCGGCCTCCCAAAAGTGCTAAGATTACAGGGGTGAGCTACCGCGCCCGGCCTTCCCCATCGTATCTTTAAAGAACCCGTTTATAAATCTCATCATCCCTGAAGCCATCCTGAACTGCCCTAAGATAATTGGTTCCCAGTTGGGAACCTGTAATCCCTTTGCCTGCCTTCATTATTGCACTTAACACTCCTGTATTAATTTGTGCCTCATCTAGGCAGAGGTATTCAGGACAGTGGCTTACTGATCTTTGTATTCTCGAAGTCTAGCACTTGGTAGGCATCAAGTATTTGTGCTGAATGAAGATATGTCTGAACCAATTCTTTTTTTTTTTTTTTTTTGAGACGGAGTCTCACTCTGTCACCCAGGCTGGAGTGCAGTGGCACGATCTCAGTGTACTGCAACCTCTGCCTCCCGGGTTCAAGCAATCATCCTTCCTCAGCCTCCCGAGTAGCTGGGATTACAGGGGCCTGCCACCACGCCCAGTTAATTTTTGTATTTTAGTAGAGACGAGGTTTCACCATGTTGGCCAGGCTGGTCTTGAACTCCTGACCTCAGGTGATCCACCCGCCTTGGCCTTCCAAAGTGCTGGGATTACAGGCGTGGGCACCCAGCCTCTGAACCAATTCTTTTTTTTTTGGACAGTCTCTAGCTCTGTCGCCCAGGCTGGAGTGCAGTGGGGCAATCTCGGCTTACTGCAAGATCCGCCTCTCAGGTTCACGCCATTCTCCTGCCTCAGCCTCCCGAGTAGCTGAAACTACAGGCACCAGCCACCACGCCTGGCTAATTTTTTGTACTTTTAGTAGAGACAGGGTTTCACCATGTTAGCCAGGATGGTCTGGATCTCCTGACCTCGTGATCCGCCCATCTCAGCCTCCCAAAGTGCTGGGGTTATAGGCATGAGCCACCGCGCCCGGGCGCCTCTGAACCAATTCAGAAAGGCAGTTGCTCTGCTCTTCCAGCAACAGATTCTCGTGGAAGTAACTGAATCCAGTAACAACTTTCTGATTAATTCCTATTTTCTTCTGAAGGCAATCTCAGCATGCTTAATATGTATTTTTAAGACTATACATAAAGAAGACATTCCTATATTCAAAGTAAAGCAATTAAAAAAGAATAGAAGGAGGGGAGAGTGAGAAAATAAACCACTGACACCAAAGCTTTAATCATCACACTTTTATTAAGGAAACTTCCCCATAATAAGTGAAGAGGTAGTTCATAGTATGTCTAACATACAACAGATTTAGAACAGCTATTCATGAGCTGAAATAAAATCTTCTGGGTTGTTTAGGACAGTATTTTAGAAGCAGTGACAATGGTCACCTTCCATTTATAGATCTGCTAATAAAGAAACTTAAACAAATTAAAACCAAATCTGATTTACCTCAGAGCCACTTCAGTTTGGAGTTTATCTTTAGTATTAAATAATAAATAAATAACTGACACAGTAATTTTTTTTAAAACCAAACTATGGTAGAGAGTCATCTCCTTTTTAGTTCTCCTGGGGATCCATAAAATACAAATGCTGAATGATAAAGGTTTTAAAAATCTTCCTCCTCTACAGAAGTATGACTAGTTTTGAAAGTCATCTTCCTCTATAAAATGTACTGGATATCAGTAACTTGACTTCTTTGCAATATAATCTAACAAACATGTATAAGCAAAGAAGGAGGAAAGTCAAGTTCCACAAAAATTAGAAAAATGTCTCACAGAAACAGAACACCTCTCCAGCCAAAAATGGAGGAGACTGTAAATCACTTCAGTGGTTTGCATTTTCAAAAGGTGAGAACTAAATGTTTTACTGATACAAAAGCACAAAGTTGCTGATTTTAACTGATGGAATACAGCAAGGCAGCTTTCTTTATTATTTCTAGTATAAAAGCAAATTGAGACTTTGTTTCACTAAGACCACATGAGACTATAAGCTCCATGAGGGCAGGGACTATATCAATCTTACCTTCATTATCCTCAGTATCTAGCATAGTGTCTGGCAACAGTAGGTGCTTAACTAACGTTCCTTGAACAACTGAATGAACCCAGAAATAGTCTCCAACCAAAGAGACCAATCTTATTTGAACCCGTGCCTTTTAGTCTTCAAACCAGTAACAAAAACAGGACATGAATGTGAGCAAAGGAAGCACTCCAACTTGAAATTTTCCTGTGAAGAAATGATGTTGACAGAAAATACCAAAAAATGCTGTTTGGTTGACAGGGTAGAGTCTCACTATTGCATAGAATTGGTACTCTTTGGCTGGATCATGTAAAAATCACAATGCTAGGAAGCATCATTAGACCATATAATGAGTGATGTTAGGCATAAGGTACCTATTAGCTTTATCACTCAACTGTATTATCATTTTAAATATCTGAACAAAAGACAAAAATCATACTTCACATCTGACACACATGATGATAATTTACATGTGATAACAATGATACATGTAAACGTATCAAATATAACAGTTTAAGATCCCCTCTGACTATACAAACCTAATTTTTCAAATCTGCATGCACTCTCATAGCTCAAAAACAAAAACAGAAAATCCTGATGGAAACTAATAAACAGTTTTCCACACAAAATCAATTTCGCATTTAGATCTTCTCACATTATTCTTGCTTTTTCCCTCCCTAAACAACACCTAGCAAATCACTCACTTGGATGGGAAGAATATAATACTCATCTAACTAAAAAATAATTAATATAAATCCCTCTGTAATATTTTGTTGGCAAAATTCAGGTTGTCTCAGCCAACAGGGAGACAGAAAGGGGAAACACAAACTAGGAGCTTTTTGCTAATGCATTATTCTTCATGTACTAAATCTTTTAAAGCCAAGGGATAGTGAGAAGGAGGAAGAAGATGCTAGCTCACATTTAGTTATACCTTGGCCAATATTGGCCAGGCCACCTCTTCAGGCTTTGGATACCCCAACTTAAAACGAAAGAGGTGGAGTAAATGACCTTTTAAGATTCTCTAAGGACTCTACTAACACTATTACCTAAATCTAACTCATGGGTGAGAAACAAATAAGACTCAAAATTTTAGGTCTGAAGTACAACATGTGTTTTAGGAAAAAGAGTTGTTTTGTTTTTCCTTTTTGAAAATTAACTTTGTATTCGCAATCAATCAAAGGCAGCAAGGTGGGACAGTGTACCTTTAAGAGGAATATCTGTATATAGAAATTTGATTGCCCTTTCTGTGTCCAACCTAACTTTTATCATCCATTTTAGAAATTAAGGTACACGAGGAAATGAAAATTCAGAGACTTTTATGGTGCACAGGACAAAACTCTGATGGCCAAATTAATTCACCTTTCTGATGGCTCAACTCTGAAACAAAATTCAGAGATTCCCAAATAGACTCTTTTTGGAGAGCCCATTATACTTTAGCACATTTTTAGTGTGCCTGGAGCAGTCCTGATCTCAAAAGCATCAACAAATTACACATTAATTATAAGCAGATGGGCTGGGCACGGAGGCTCACGCCTGTAATCCCAGCATTTTGGGAGGCTGAGGCGGGCATATCACGAGGTCAGGAGATCGAGACCATCCTGGCTAACACGGTGAAACCCCGACTCTACTAAAAATACAAAAAATTAGCCAGGCGTGGCAGCATGCGCCTGTAGTCCCAGCTACTCAGGAGACTGAGGCAGGAGAATGGCATGAACCTGGGAGGTGGAGCTTGCAGTGAGCCGAGACCACACCACTGCATTCCAGCCTGGGCGACAGAGCGAGACTGTGTCTCAAAAAAAAACCAACAAAACATATATATATATAAAAAAGCATATGGCCACTTATGGGACATGCTACCAGAGAGAAACCCCCCATGTAAGTGCTGTTGTATAAGTGTACTTCTATCCCTGTTGATTATGCTCCTCATGGTCATCCCTAACTATCTGCCTGCAGGTGTTCCTCAAGAGACGGTACTCTAGTATATTTGAACAATTCAATGAGATGAAATTGGGCTATGATACTGTTAA